CAGAACCAGAACCAGAACCAGGACCACATCAGACCAGTTCAGAACCAGGACCAGGACCAGAACCAGAACCAGAACCAGAACCAGGACCACATCAGACCAGTTCAGAACCAGGACCACATCAGACCAGTTCAGAACCAGGAAACTGGACCACATCACAACCAGAAACCAGGAACCAGGACCATATCAGTCCAGTTCACAACCAGAACCAGGACCACATCAGAACCAGAACCAGGAAACCGGACCACATCAGTCCAGTTCAGACCAGGAAACAGGACCACATCACAACCAGGAAACTGGACCACATCAGACCAGTTCAGAACCAGAACCAGGAAACTGGACCACATCCGACCAGGAACCAGAACCAGGACCACATCAGTCCAGTTCAGAACCAGAAACCAGGACCATATCAGACCAGTTCAGAACCAGAAACCAGGACCATATCAGACCAGTTCAGAACCAGAAACCAGGACCATATCAGACCAGTTAAGACCAGGAACCAGAACCAGGACCACATTAGACCAGCTCAGAACCAGAACCAGGAACCAGGACCACATCAGTCCAGTTCAGAAACAGAAACAGACCATATCAGACCAGTTCAGAACCAGGAAACACAACCACATCAGTGCAGTTCAGAACCACAACCAGAAAACTGGACCACATCAGAACCAGAACCATATCGGTCCAATTCCCAGGTCTCTTGTTCTTAAACCTGAAACCAAACACATACAAACTACAGAATCATTCTCCAACTAAAATGTTTGGAGAGGAAAAAAGATTCCTCTGGTCAGAACGAATAGTTTTCATTTTATTTTATAATTTTATTATATTTTATTTTAATGGATTAAAGGGGTCTGACAGTCAAAGCACAGAGTTTGTTGGCTGTGTGTCTCCAGTTAAGGTGGATCTGATATTTAAGGCCTCGGACCACAGCGGACCCCCCCGTGGTTACGCAGGGTGGTACGATCCGTGGCTTTAGAAACTGGAGGGACATTAGAGTCTGTCTGATGTTACTAAAACAAACAAGAGCAAACCCAAACTCAGGTAAGACTAAAAACCGAGTTCGTTTCTGGCAAAAAACCTCACGAGCTTCTTTTAAAAAAGACTTTTGTAACTTTTCTAAACAACTTTCCCTTTTTAACATGAATCAAAATTTCAATTAGTTGATTACTTGTTTATTCTAAAGACTTTTAAGACGCTTTATTCATTAAAATGACTTGTTTCCAGATTTAAACAAACACCAAATTTGATTTTTTATTTTCATTATTCTAGACACCAATTACTACAACCAGGACCCACAATGACTAATATAGAATATTTCTATTTTTTTTTTACCCTTTGTTGCAAAGTTTAAATGATAAATATTCAAATTATTTTCTTTGAAATGTATTTAAGAAAAGGTATTGATTTAAAATACTTTCACCCTTAAGTCATGAAAAAGTCTAAATTCACAACTTTTTCTACAAAATCAAATTATTTAATCAAACTTGTTTAATATTAATAGGTTAAAAAAATATATATATTTCACTGGCTGGAAAAATTAGATTTAAAGAATCCTTACTTTCTTTATAGTTTGTTCACAGTGATTCCTGTTCCTCCTTTCCTGGTTTTTAGAGCTTTAAAGAGACAATATGGAGCTTATTTGGAATAAAAACTCATCTTTAGAGCTCAAACTGATGCCTGTTAGAGGTGAAATCCAAAAGATAAACTATAAAATACATTTTATATCTTTAATTCTAAATTATTAGATTTATTTATTCATATAAATCGATTTTAATTAATAGATTTATTTAAAGAAATATTACACTAATATATAAATTAGAAACGACTATAAATTTTTAATTTTTTCTAAATTATTAGTATTATATTACATTATTTTTTATTTATTTAGAAGTGATCAATGATTTGTAAACGCTCCAACTCTGATAAATAAATTGGATTTATTTAGAAATGATTAGATATCAATTGATTTAAATATCAATATCTAAACTGATTTAAATTAATGCATTTAAATACATGTATTATACTTTTATTTCTTAAATCATTACATTCTATGATATTCAATTTTTAAGAAATAATTATCTTTTTGAAAATAACGATATTTTAAAAGAAACACATTTATTTATAAACAACTCGTGCACGCTTAGCCTTCCTGACCTCTACGTCCAGATTAATCCTCCTTAAATTACAAGTGACCTTTAACTTGGAAAAGCTCCCGATAAATCTGTTTAAAAATAAATCTCCGAACCAAAACCCAGGCGGCTAATTCCAGTCGGGAAACGGAAGATAATTCAAAACAGATCAAACTTAATCGCTCAAATCTGCTTAGATTTAAAGTTTTTAAGTCACTGATTTGAACCAGAGCTGATTATGGAGGAAAAAGAGGAAATTCTAACTTTATATTTCACATTTTCTGATTTATTTGGATTTATTTTAGTCATTTATCTGACTATCAAATTACATTTGTGGGATTCTTTCAGCTTCTGGTGTAAAAACTG